AACCAGAATCAATATCCGAAGTTCCCTCTTACTGCTGACTCAACTCAACAACAACAACAACCAGTCCACCATAGCTATGGCTTCCCTCCTTCAGCCTCCTCTCTCATGCATAGGCTATGGCGGACTACTCCAAGCAGCTAGGGTGCTGCGCTGATGTCCAAAGGACAACCCAAGCAGCTATGGTGCTGCGCTGATGTCCAAAGGACAACGCAGAGCAGCTATGCCGCTGCTGACTTGGTCCGCTAGGCCTGACTCTGCCTCGAGCTTCCCTGGTGCCGCACTACCCCAACTGGGGCCTTCCAGATGCAGCGCCCAACAAGGTGATGAAGATGGTGTCTTCCATAGCCAGGTAAGTGCCCCGCCACTCTCCTACCATGCCCCCTTCTTCCTCCTCCTCAAGCTGGACTGCTCGCCATAGCCAGGCTGAGCTCCAGCGGCCCTTCACCTCCTAGCAGCGCTGTACCAGACCAGCGCTGCGCTCCAGCAGCATGTCGCCAATCCTTGCACACCGCAAATGAGGAAGAGCTCTTTGCTCTTCCTGGAGATATAGCGGCCTACCGGCCTCCTCGGCGGTGACTTCCTAGGCCGAGCGGCCTCCCAGCAACCGGTGCCTCCTCCCTTTCGGAGGGAAACATCATTGCAGGCTCTGCTATCCTCCCTACAGGCCCTAGACCCGGGCTACTTGGACTGGTACCGGCCTACCGCTATCCTACCGCTACTGGGCCACTAAAAATGCCAACTTTTTGTCTTCTTCTGCTCGGCCTCCAGTACCTGACACCCCTACCACTACTCGAGTGGTACCGGCCTACCTGCTACTTGAGTGTTTTTCCCCGCTGTTCTAAGTGTTGCGGGCCTACCCCCGCTACGTGAGTGTTTTCCCCCTGCAACCCTCAAAGTCACGGCCACAGGTAAGTACCGGCCCTGCGGGGCCCTTCAACCAACAAGGACCCTTGCGGGTCATACACACACTCAACCGACAAGCACTCAGACAGGCATGCAAACCAGCAGGCACGCACACACACAGACATGGAAATCACACCAGAATGCGGGAATTTCAACAAGGCATTCATTCCAGCGGCAAATCCCAGAAATCAGCAGTGTTCTCAGTCTGTGTTTTTGGCGGGTCATTACACGACAGAAAGAAAGCATGCATGTGACAGAGGAAGGTCTAGACAGCAGGCGGATGGGTGGGCAGGTGGCTGGACATGTGGGGGGGTAGATGGACAGGCAAATGGATTGGTGCCCAGATGAAAAGGGGTGCAGGCAGACAGGGTGGACAGAGGGGCAAATAGATGGTCAAACATGCAGATGGATTCATGGTTGGAAGGAGGCATGGGAGGGATGAATGGCAGGGATGTGCAGAATGCATAGATCGAGAAATGGATGGGTGGACATGGGAACAGCTCAAGGGAGGAATGGATGGGTGAAGGGATGCCTCAAATTATGGAGCGAAGAACTGAGGAATGGACAAGCGGAGCGTCCAACAAAACTTGAAATCCTTGAGTGAAGGAAGAATGTTCAGATAATAGAAGAAGGGAGAGAACGACAAACACCCACAAACAACCTAAGTGGTCAATGTATGGATGGTCAGATATATAAGAACTTAAAAAGATACCTAACAAAATGAGAAAACTAGCTATGCTACAAGAACTTAAAAAGATACCTAACAAAATGAGAAAACTAGCTATGCTACAATGTGATACGTAACCTCACACCCCACGTAGCGTCCCGTACCCGTGGGGCGCCGGAGATTTTGGGCGGGGTTGAACCGCCAGGGTGAAACTGGGGGTTCTCGCCTCAGTCCTGAGGTTGGCTTTGGAAATTCAAGTCCATCAGGGAGAACTGCAAAATTTCAGATTTAGATAGGGCCTGGCGCGTAAGGGCCGGGCAGAGGGAAAATTCCGCCTGTCGGCGTAAGGGCTAGAACCCAACTAATCCACCACCAGCTATGTCCGCAAAAGATGGTGCAAGAAAAAGAAAACAGAACAACGAATCTACCGCTTTCCTCGTGTCAGGTTCACGCCCCCTTTTTCATGGGGGTCAGAAGACCTAGGCATCCGAATCAGTCCGTCTGTTCGACTAGAAGTCTCCTCATCTGACGGGGGAGGGGGCGTGGGTACCCAAGTTCGGAAACTCGCCGAAAGAGCTCCCGTGCTGCGGGAGAGATCCGGGAACCGGACGGACCCTTCATAACCCAGCACCATTCTTCGCCAGGGACACGAGTTCCCCAGCCGGCACCAGCGACAGTTGAACTGAGGTGTCCACGTGGTGTGGGCCACGGACCAGGGAAGCACTGTCAAGTCCGTATAAGGCTGAATTAGCACAGGGGGATGAAAATCGATCAATCAAAACAAACCTGGTTCCCCCTATATGGCACGCCTTCGACGGATTATAAAAATGAACCCAATCGGTCTGCAATAGCGCCCTCCGCAAGTCCGCATCGCAGTAAATACTGTCCTCGTCTGCGATAGGGAAAGGGGGAAGGTCGCTATGGCGAATCAAAGGAGGCTTGAGCATGGGCAATTACCCACGCTCACGTTCAAAGTAGCAAACCTCGACTCCATACAAGTCTCGACTCTATCCCACCACCCACTCCCAACAGTCCAAGGCAAGCCGTCTCACACGGTGTCGTCGACTAGAACTGTCACCTTGTCAAAACGGCGATGGGCGAGAGGCAGAGAGATCGGGTGGATCGCCGTGGTCCTCACGCCCGATGTCCCCGGTCGCTCGGTCTGACATGTAGTGCTTGCAGGCGTAAGGGGAGAAAAAGGTCGGCGACGATCTCACACACCCTCGAGGAGCGGGGATCAGCAGTTAGTCGGGAATCAAAGAGCACCGGCATACTCATGCATACAGCAGATGTCCCAGACCCAATGACCGCACTCACGTGCACAATAACAACAAAGACGTGCACAGTCTTTCCACATCTGTCTATCCCTAGGACTTCAAACAGCGAAGCATTCAGCATCCATTGATGTTCACACCCAATGCCATGCAAATATCTCAGTATCCACACTTAGTTTTCGGAGCACACGGCAAATGGACAAAGCATCGATGGAGAAAAAGCGAGTCCCTCACTATTCAGAATTACAACAATGCTGGCACTCCACGTGCCAACCATAGCCACAAGGCCCTGCCGCTGGCCGCATTCCCATCTCCACCACCGCTCAGTCCCTCCAACTGCCTTACCCAAAGACTACCGCTAATTCCACCCCACACCGTCACTCTGCCCATTTGTTGGGCACGTCAAGCCTGTCCGGCGTCGTGGTCTTCGCGCATAGCTCACGCCGCATTGCAGCCGAAATCAAAGCGAGTGAGGGGAAGGGGCTGCGCGGATTTATAGTGGGGAAGGCGGCGGGGCACCAGCACGCAATGCGGATAGCGAAGGGTCGTAGGCGAGGAGGAGGGAGGAAGAAGGCTCCAGAAGATCGAAGAAGGTGGGACAATTAAAATATTTGTACACTTGGGTTCGCCGTTCAAGCCCCGCACATAAGTTCGCCCTCGCAGCTCGATCCGGCCAACGCAACTGACGACCAATCAATCGCTCATGCCAAAAGGGACAGGGAGGGGATCAGCCGAAAAGTTCTGGGGAAGGCGAAGGGTTGCGCAGAGATGAGGGGCATCAAGAAGGAAATTGGCGCATGCTCATGGCGGGAAGCGAGCTTGCATGACGAGCAAGAATTAAAAAATGGCTGCGCGCGCAGTTGCTGACGCAGGAAAATGGAAATGCCGTCAACCAAAATTCATAACCGTTGCTTGAAATTCTCGTGTGCCGCTAATCGGTCGCGCGGGGCTAATTTGAGTGGGGACAGGGGCAATCTCAACAAATACACACAACCGACTTGCAAAAATTCAAGACCCCATTTTCTGTAATTAGTTAAGGTCTGTACTTTGGGGCTTACTTCGGGTTTTAGCCCGAAGGGTATGTGAAGCCGCGAGGCACAGAGCTTGGCTTATCACAACGATTCCTCCTTTGCCTCCTCTTACTCTTCTTCGTCCTGCTGGTCCTCTTCCGTTTCCCATTCCTTTTGCTTCTCAGTTGCTCTCTCCAACCTCTTTCTTGTCCTATTCCTCTCTTTCCTGAAACCACCCTATTCCTTCTCCTCTCGTAATTGTTTGTCTTTAGTGTGCTCATTCTGAGTGATTACACTGAACAAAAAGCCAAGAAAACACCCTTTCTGTCTCAGTTGTCAACGTCACCCACATACCCACACACACCACTTCTTCTTTTTGTTTTTCCATGATCTGGCCCGTGGCGCCGCATTCACAACTTTCAAAAACATATCGGCTTGTATCCACCACATACCCTTAAGCCATTTGGTTCCACAGATACCGAATCACCACCCGTATCCCATCGACAAATCTCCCTTCGTTAGCTCGAGGAGTCGCTGTTTGAGCAACACAGCTGTCAGTGAAAAGACCTTAGCCATCTCCCCAGAACTCAACGAGGTGGGGAAAAGGTTTTGAAAGCTGGAAATCAATAAATATACCTCTCTCACACTAGCAAAATACGAAAGTCCAAATAAAAACAAGTGAGAGAACCAAACATACAATTTTGTGCAAGGACCCTCTGCAGGACCGTGAAAATTTGAAAACAAGATGCCCCCAGGGTTAACATTCTGGCATGGAAAAGGTCAGGCAGCAGTTGCTAAAAGAAGTTGCAGAAACACCAGATCCAGTCGATTCCCTGAGATGATGCCATGTCAAGTGGAATACATACAGTTCTTTCAGATTCGTCAGCTCTCCAAGCTCTGGAGGAATTTCTCCTGTGAGAGATAACTTGCTCAAATGCCTGTAACACAAAAGAACAAGTCATCACGACAGGGTCAGAGGACACCCACCCACACACACAGGGGCACACACAAATACACACATGCACACACACACACACAAACACACACACAAATGAACAGAGATCCAAAAATGGGATGCAGGCAGAATGGGTAGGGAATGGAGGCAGAGGAGAGAGACGGAGTGCTGTAGTCGGGGGGGGTAGACGAGCGGAGGGATGGGGATAGCGCCAGAGGGTGACCGAGGAGGAGCGGAGAGGGAGCGGAGGGGTAGTGGAGGCGGGGAGGCAGGCGGGGGGGGGGGGGAGTGGGAATGGCAGCGGGAAACTCTCTCTCTCTCTCTCTCTCTCTCTCTCTCTCTCTCTCTCTATATACTGTCTCTTATACACATCTAGATGTGTATAAGAGACAGCGTGTGGAGAGATCGGTATACGCGGCAGGCTTGTATCCGTTGTGGCCAATATGGCCATAACCAAT